AGTGCTTGCCGTTATAGGGCTTTGAGGGTGCTTGCTGTTATAGGTCTTTAAAAGAATAGCGCAAGCTGATACTAGGCTTTGAGGGTGCTAGCTATTACAGGGCTTTAATAGAATAGTGCTACCTTATACTGGGCTTTAAAAGAATAATTCCTGCTATTACAAGTCTTTAAAAGAATAATGCAAGCTAATATTGGGCTTTGAGGGTGTTAGCTGTTATGGGGTTTTAAAAGAATAGTACCAGCCAGTACTGGGCTTTAAAATAATAGTTCCTGCCATTACAAGGCTTTAAAAGGGGTGCCAGCTAATACTAGTCATTGAGGGTGCCTGCCGTTACAGGACTTTAAAAGAATAGTACCAGCCAGTACTGGGCTTTAAAAGAATAGTGCTTGCCGTTATAGGGCTTTAAAAGGGGTGCCAGCCGATACTAGTCTTTGAGGGTACCTAAGTGCCAACCGGTACTAGGCTTTGAACATGCTTGTTGTTACAGGGCTTTAAGAGGGGTGCCAGCTAGTGCTGGGCTTTAAGGGTGCTGCCGATACTGAGCTTTAAAAGAATAGTGCTTACCGTTACAGGGCTTTAAGAAGGGTGTCGACCAGTACTGGGCTTTGAGGGTACTTGCCATTACAGGGCTTTAAAATAATAGTGCCTACCATTATAGGGCTTTGATTGGGGTATGAGAATAGGTTTCAAAACCCAATGAAACTATAAGAACTGATAATTGTGTTTTTTTTTTAAAATTAAATACAATTTATAAACATAATGATGGCATTATTGGAGCTTTTACTTTCATTATCATTTGTAAGGTTTAAGCTCATGTGTAAGAGATTTCATTGAAGTAATAGGAGAATCGTGTTACAATAAATAAGTTGGTGTGGAACATGCACAAAGAGAGTTCATCCATAGAAAAAACCAAAACCATTAAGATAAATCTATATAGATTTTACAATGATAGAATATAAATATGAATGAATGTATACAATATTTGGAAATTATGGAATAGTGATGATGGATAATTAAATAATGATATGTACATTTATTTCCTCAAGAAATATAATTCAAATATTTATGAAATTATTTTTATTTATTAAACTCTGAAATTCATAGTTATTTAATTAACACAAGCTTGTATATTATTTATGAAATATTATTTTCGACAAGTATTAAATTGGCATTTGAAATGATTCATGTGAGTTGGGTATTGAAAATATAAATTGAATTTTTGAAGTGATTATTTTTCTTGCATGTTTGAAATATGATTTTTAAGAAGACTTTAAACAAAACATTGCTGTTAACGATAATTCCATTAACTCGTAGCATGTTGTGATTAAAACTAGCTAGTTTGCCTCGTGGGTTTTGATCTCATGTTTGTTATTCATGGGCTTTATACTTGCGTTTGATTTCATGGTCTTGAATCGCGTTTGGTTAGTATTACCCTCGTGAACTATGTGTCCATGTTTGTTTCATAGCTTTGGCTGCATTTACTTATTTACCCTCGTGAATTGTGTATTTACGTTTGTCTTCATGACATAAGCCATGTTTGGTTATTTACCCTTGTAAACTATATATTCACGTTTGTTACCTGTTTTGTTGAGTTCTCATAATTCTAAATTTTGATTAATTTGTATTTTTGAAATTTCAATAATTTTGGTTAGCAAGTGTTATTGCTTTAATTTACGTGAGAATAAATTGCTTTCTTCAAGCATGATAAAATAAATTGCTTTTAATTTACTCTTATTTTATGGTTACAATTATGATTTATAAACTTATAAGTTTATTGTGATGAATTATCATCTTTTCAATTAGTTTACACTATTATTTGGATTTATTATTTTAATTCTTTCAAACTTTATTTTGAGAATGCTCTTCACTAAAAAATTTATTTTGATCTTAGATTCGTTAATTGACACTAACCCAACCACTGACCTCCAAAGGAAAATATAGTTATATTAGGTGAAAATTTTGCTTGGTATTATTACCTTTTTATGTAAATATTTTAGGATTCATGCATTTTAAAATTTAAAAGAAAGATTAGCTACTCCACATGGATTGTTGTTAGGACTTTATTTTAATTTATATACTGTTGCTAGTTAGAAGGAGTTATGCTCCTGATTGATAATGTATTCTATGAAAATTTTGTTATAAAATTTTTGGAAGATCTCATTTATAGAAGAGGTTCTGTTGAAATTTTTTAAAAAAAGTTAAAACCTTGTTATGACAATTAATATTAAAAATGTTAGAATTTCTATATAATCTTATTAATTTTTTTGAAAACGAAATGAATTTTCATTTTAAAGCTTACGAGAATGCACAATGTAGTTCATACCTGTGCCGGTCAGTCTCTATTTTTGGGGCGTGACAGAAAGAGAGAGTAAAATAGCTAGTTAGCTGAGATGATTCTTAATTATGATTATGGATGTAATTATTAAATAAAGGTATAATTGAAAAAATAATTATACCAGTTCAATCTCAAGTTTTTTAAATCATAATCACCGATTTGAAAAATTGAATTGAATTATTTGAATGAAAAATATATCAATATTATATTTATACATACACTAGTCAAATTACTAAAAACCATATTATTTACATGTTTAAGGTATGTTTTCATCCTTGAACATTTATCAAAGAGCGTTAGACACCCTGCACTGGTAAGTGAAAAATTTTTCCTCCTAAATTATTTTTTCAAAGAGCAAAAATTCCTTTTATTAGTCATCCCTTAACATTGTTATTATTAGCTGACGTGACATGCACGTGAAACCCATATACAATGACAAGACTTTGATAATGTTTTTTTATGTTAATTTATTCCTAAACTCTTTTCAAGAGCATTGCACATTTTAAGATCTTGTTCAAATAAGATTTAATAAATATTAATAATTTAAATATTATTACTTATAAACATTCATCTAAAATTTATAAATTAATATTAACACTCAAGTTAGTTTTACAAAAAATTATTGATAACTAGTTTTAAGCTTGGGCCATGCATATGTTATGTTGATAAAAAATGACAAAGTTATCAAATAATTAACAAAAGGGATTTTTTGCTTGTCAGGTAAATAGTTCAACAAGAAAATTGCTCTATTAATCAACACACAGGATCCACAATGCTCCTAAAAGAAAAAAGTTCAGCTGTACAAATAAACCTTAATCTTTATTTATAAGTCATAAATCATGAAATTCATTCTTCAAACTATTAAATTCAAAGATATACATGAAGTTTTCCAACAAGTCTCGATATATAGATATATATATATATATATTTTGGTTTTGTTGTGATATTCGGATAGGGCTGTAGGGCTGATGTGGTAAATAATGGATGTTGTGGTAGCGGGTACATCGAAACATCGTTTTTGTGTAATGAAAAATCACCTGTGTCTGAAGTACCTGCCAATCTTATGGTGAACTAAATTTCTCTTTGTACTCCTGTTATCAAGCTTAGACTTGCCTTAATATTTAAAAAAAAAAAAAAATCACCTGTGTGAACCTAATCCTTCAAAGTATGTGTTCTGGGATTCTTGACATCCCCACTGATAACCTATCACTACGTCTTCTCGGCCCAACCTTGTAGGAGTGGTTTGGTTGTATTTTAATGGAAAAAATATTAAAAGAAGCCCTATGTACTCCCTGCTGCGGAAATAAGGCATTTCATTTTTTATTATTCTCTTGTAATTTTATGTTGGAAAAATAACAGAAGAGCCCAAATAAACACTTTAATTACTAATAAGCCCACTTTTTGTAGGTCAACTTGTGGTATCACGTCATCTGGTAACATTTTGCCACAGATTGGATTCATTACTGATTAAATTCTTTATTTGGGACTGATCTATTATTTTTCCCCTTTATATTTCATTAGTCTCAACAGTTTGTGCTCACACTTTTATTAAGAATTTTTTTGCCACATCAGAGATTCCATTGGCAAACTCTTTCTAAACTGATCTGGGATTTTAGAACATAAAGCAGAAGTATGGTAAACTAGAAGAGAGAAAAACAAAGTGAGCAAAATGACGGCTGCATAGAGAAGAGGATCTACCACTATATAAAAACTGCTTGCGTTAATAACATTAAAAGATATATGATGCTTGTTATATTTCCATAACTATCACTTAAAAGGGATGTGTCAAATCAGGTTGACATATGGTAGAGACTCTCATCACTTAATCAATTCAATTGATTAGAATTCGAATTTCAATCCTTATATTTGTAAAAACCTAATTAGAAGAGATCTTACTCTTTGCCCACGGTACCCAAAGCAAATTAGCTCTACTATCAACAACTTTCTTGTGCCTTAAAAAAAAAAAAAGTGATTGTATTTATTATCTGCTTTTCAGATATAAAGAATATTTTTCATCCGCAAAATTACTTGTTTCATTCCATTTTTCATTCCATTTTATACTTTCTCAACCTTCAAAGGTTTCCGATTTATCCTGCAGCTAGTCTTTGTCAAAGTATATGAAAAGCAAAGCTTCCCCTCTCTCATTTTGGATTCAGTCCTGATATTTGCCAAGGTTTTACGATATTTCTGACGATGTCAACAGAGAAACTAAAGTTACTTAGCATTTTGAGCAGCTTGAAAGTTGGAACATCCAAAATCCAAAGATAACAAATGAAAAGTCACTGATCAGCCTAAACCCAGGATTTATAATGTTATATTACCATATAGAAGGGATAAAAAGTAATAAGTTTATCAATGATGATTTATCTAAGGTTGGATGAAGTTCTCATTATAACTTCAACCGCTGTCTTGTCCTGTTGTTCAGGTGTAACAGAAGGGTACAGCTATAAGCAGATTTCATGACAGAGACTTCGGAATTCTGGGTTTGCACAATACAGCTCATTGGAATATGACTCCATAATAATGCCAGATGGTAAAGCCCAAAATCAAGAAATATACCAAAGGAAGAAATTGATGCTCTTCTTAGAGATAAGGAAAAAATATTATTAGTTTGGCAAAAGAGGATCCTAACTCTACTTCATAGTTTAAGGGTCAAAATTCATACCTTTTTTTATGAAAGCAGGCCAGCCACTTCATCAAGATTCTGTGGCATCAACTGAATTCCTGAATGTGATGGAATTGTCAATGGAGTTGTCATCTTTATAATCCCGGACACAAACATTTTTAACTAGGATTCTACTCACTTTGGAGATTGTGAATCAAGCTGCATTGTTACTGGTCCGTCATTAACCAAACTGACCTTCTCACCATGACAAGAGCGGATAGTTAACATATGTAGCCATTAGACATTAACACCCAACACATGCATCATCACGAAGAAATTGAACGGACACAAGCTTACCTTCATCATTGCTCCAAAAACTCCATCTGCAAGAATATGAAGCATATTGAAGTCAGAACATGACACAGCATTAAGTTCCAACAGATTTACAAGATGCATTCAAGGAGGGACACATACACATCACCAAGGCTCCTTAAAGACAATTCAATCTAAATAGAGAGAAGAAGGTTTCCAATGAATTAATGTATATCAAATTATACGACACAACAACAGAATTGACCACTCGTCATGATAATGCATACTCACTGTTTGTTTCTTTATAATTAGACAAGTGGCAAGATGAATTATGGGTTTCCGTCTGTGGTTAATACCAGAAGTAAAAGACAACGGAAATAGCACCAAATTTTTACTAACAATAGCTTATTTGGTTGAGACCATGTAAAAAATAGGTTGCCATTCCTTTTATACTTTTTACACGCCACGAAAGAAGGTATTGACAAGGAAAGATGAATGAATTAAAATTAGATGTTAGGGAACATTGTGGTCATTAATCTATAAATTAAATAATGAATGAACAATCATTAATATTTGGGAATACTATGGTATCTTAACAAAACAGAATTATCCGGGTTTGCACTAAGTTGGCAACTTGGCATACAAGAATGGTTACTACAATCAAGATTCAAAATTCAAAGCATTCATAAGAATTCTGTTGTCCACCCAAATCCCTCTCTTCTCCTATCCTGTGTCAGGCAGTTTCTTTCATTTTTCTTACTGCTAATTGACTAGATTGCGCTAAAATCCTCTGTAGTGAATGGCAAGAAGGGAAAGTGAAATAATTCTGCATCAGTTTCCTAAGCAATGAGACTGCTAACTATGTACTGGGAGTCATGGTGGCTAAACTAGGCTATGCAATGCTAATCTTCACGGCTAGCAGAATTCTGTTAATGCAATGAGATACTTTCAGTACTCCACACATGGCAAATTTGCACCATTTGCTGATTTACACATCTCCCCCAGATCACCACTCAAGTTGTTTAGGCCAATTTTTCCGTTGGGTTATACAATATATATATATATATATATAAGCTAAAGGTCTGTTGAACCTTAAGGAAGGTACTCATTACCAAACCATGAATGATCAATACTCAAAGTGCAACATTTACATTACTTATGAACTTGTCGTTTGTTAATCATGACAAAGGTAAACGCTAGATTTCTATTTCTTAACCATGAATAAATTATAAATTATATATAAAGAAATAAACAAACAAACAAAATTAATGCCTCTCTGTAATCTTTATCATTTGTCAGAGACAGATGCCTTCGGCTGATAGGTGAAATACATTTGAAACTTACCTTTTATTGCATCAGTGTTATAGGCATTCCTGAATCTAGCAACCAAAGATGCATAAAAGGGCTTCGCTTTTTGAGGTGGCATTGCAACGTGAAAATCTGGCTTGTTTCCCTCCGGGAATCCATACAAGGTAAATTGACTCACTGTCACAAAACCAATATTACTTAAGTAGAATAACAACCAAAGTCCTTCCCACTTCCCACTTCATTAATAATTAACAAAAATCGAACTAACAAACTTAATTCCAGTACCTAATAGAACTTGATAATTCCTCTGCATTACCTGCAAATTAAGAGAAGCCCAATTACACAAACGGTCAAAGCAACCTCCGCAACTGATATCTAACATTTGACAACGAAATAAATCACACTTTGGTCCCATCCTTTGCCTGTACTTTCATTGGGGAACAATCTCATGTTCAAGACTTTACGACATCTGAAAGCAGAGCAGACCAAAAAACAAAAAAAGTGACCACCGAAACCAGAAATTATAAATTCCACTTGAAAATTAAACATAGGGGTAGAGAAGTACATGTAGTCGGCATCGGCGTCGGAATTGGAATCGTGGAGGCGAACAAGGACGAGAAGGCCCGGTCCAATCTCAGACACAATGCGGCCTTCGACCTGGAAGAGTGCTAAGACGCGCCGGTAATACAGGATAAGAGAATAAGAGAGAGAAAAAAAGATGAAGAGGTTTGACATGTGAGGTTGAAAAGAACTAACCTGGACGCTTGCGGAGGCGACGCGCTGAACGACGGCTCTCATGGCTGTGATTGGCTTCGCTTTCTTCTTGTTGACTGTGGCAGAGAAGCATTAACTTCTGTAACTGGTGCGTGAATCTGAAGGTGCGATGGCTGCCAGGGGTGAAAATAGGTCGGTTCGAGTTAAGATTTGGTTAAATAGGTTTGAATTTATATAATAAGTTTGAGGTTTGAATTTAACCTAAAGTTTATATTTTTTTTTTTCACCACTTAAAATTAAACTTATTTAAAACTTGATTTAATTTAAAAATTTACTTATAAATTTAAATTTTATTTTTAAATGTCACAAATATATTTTAGAATTATTAATGTAACTATATAACATCATTTATCAATTACATTATATAAAACTAAAAGGATTTATCAATTATAATATAATATAATAATAAAATGATAATATTAAAATTAATATATAAGTCCAATTTAATTAAAAATATTATTAAAACTAAAAAATAGATTGATTAAAAATTAAATGATGAAACTGATATATGTGTGATATGTTATCTAATATATATATATATATATATATATAAGTCAGTCTGTTAGATTCGTAGGTTAGACCTAACTTATTTAGTTAAATAAATTTAATTAAAGACCTGAACTTAACTTAAATTTATTTAATAAATAAGTTAGGTTAAACTTAAAGTAAATTAGGGCGTGGCCTCTTGACAAAAACTTAACCTATTCCACCTCTAATGGCTAAGGAAAGAGGCGCATCGACGGAATACAATTTTTTAAATTTTTTTAATTATTATGTTGGACAGGTTTTTTGAAAATGCTCTTTTCAAAATGCTAATGCCGTTATGAATTATTTTGCCATTTGAAAATGAATTTTTTCATCCCATAGATACAAAATTTGGTTTTACTAAATGATATGATAGGCCTCTTAATTTAATATTTGTGTTGATTAAAATTTGCTTTATTTCATCCCGCACTACTACAGAATTATGCATATTTGACGGTTATTTTTCTTTATATTTGACGGTTAAAAACTGTCAAATAAGACACCGTCATTTATACAGCTCCATATATTTGACGGTTATTTTAACCGTCAAATATGTGATATTATACTTGACAGTTCTAAATAACTGTCAAGTATAAGGTACAAGAACTTGTTTTGACTGAAAAAATAAATTCATATGTGACAGTTAGATGTGATAACTGTCAAATATTTATGTATATATTTGACGGTTATACTAAATAACCGTCAAATATATGAACATATTTGACGGTTATCAAAATAACCGTCAAATATGTTGTAGAATTTTTTTTATATAGCAGCTACGTTTAAGCAACCCCCTGTAACAGAAGTGATATTATTTCATAATTCAAACAATCCAACAAATATATATTATCATCAGCAACATTCTTTCAGAATTAAAAGACCATGTACATATATATATATATATGCGCATATATACACAGTCACATTAATTATAAATAAAAAAGTTGCAAATCTTAATCCTAAATTACAATTCTATCTTAAAAAATGAAACAATAATTCTATCCTAAGCCACATTCTTTTTGCCTTCAAGCTAGACCAAATGTGCACTCACTAAATGTGTGAATTTTGTATGATCCAAAGTTGAAATATATGTTGGCACTACTCTTCCACAACTTCATTGATGTGAGCATCCCCAAATTCTTCACAATAAGCATCATCATAATACTGCAATTTAAATTATAACCATATCAAAGTTAATTATCTAACTAATGAAATTTTGCCATATATAAAACGTATATTTAAATTAAATATGAACCTTAGTAGGGATTGAAGTCTTGGCATGAGTGATGATGTCCCTAATGAATCTCATCACGCAATATCCACAGTCCACTGAATCTGGTCTTTGATGTGGGCACTTTAAAAACAAAACAAACAAAATATATTAAATTATTGAATAATTATTAATAAATACTTGAACAATTAATATTTAAACACGTACCCTTGTTACTGTCCATGTGAACAATTGGTTAAATGGTTTGACCCTAAGGACAGTTAAAGATTCATCCGTGTGGTACAAAAACACAGCCCTAAAAACACATAAGTTGGTAAGTTTGAAATATCAAAAAACACAAGTATGAACTTAATTAATGTACTTACCTGTTGATTCATCATATCTTTGCGATTATCCAGTTGTCCGCCAGCAGAACACAACTAATAGATGGCTAGTTTCTCATATTTTTCTTTAGCCGGATCAAAGGCAATCAACATCCAATGATCCTTAAAATAATTAACAATTATAAAGAATATATAACAAATTGAAATAGTTAATAAATTTGAGAAAACACATTAAATATAACAAATAACTAACCCTTGCATGTAAGGTATCAAGAATAACCTTCCTTCTTTTTTAATAATCCTGGCTTTGAATGAATCGCACAGCTGCTTTGCTTGATCTTCATGATCAGAGTCCTGAATGTCATGGAAAGCAGTAATGTCATAAGGACAAATGAAGGCAAATATCCTAATAAGGTTGCGGGGCACGAAAAGTGGATGATAGAAAAACCTAAAATTAATAAATCAAACAGATTAGTATATATTTATAAAAATAATGATCACTCTTGTGCAAAAGAAGTACCTCAAATAAAAATCCATGACGGTCGTGCTAATCATGCCATGGTGGAGTACTTCATCTACGATTTCGAGTGTTATGTGATTGGTATGATCTTTGTCATACATGCCATGCTCGAATAGAACGTCTACAGCAATAAAACTATGAACACTCCTTTGTATGTCAACATATGCCCTTAGTGAAGTCAGGAATTTATGTGACAATTGAGGCTCCATCTTTTGAAGCAGGGAAGGTATGATAATCTTTGATTCATGGCCAGTTGATTGTTTGCTAGGGAAGTCTTTTTCCTTGGACTATATACCAGAGATAGTTAGAGATCAAAAGTTATTATATAGATACCTTATCTTTGTATGAGATCAGCTTTATAAATTTTATATATATATATATATATATATATGAACCTTATCTTTGTTAGATATTGGCCTTATAAGGGTAGTGGGCTATGCAATAAAAGTGCCCAATGCATCTCCTACAGTCATCACATCCTCCGTGGGAATGGGCAGCTGATAGTTTTCATCCAAAGAAACTTTTAGACAAACTCGTATGTGGCCTAAAGGAATTGGCACATTATGTATAGTGCCCCCAGGGACATTATACATTATACCAATTGTAACCACATGGCGATCTAGACTGTTTGCCAAAAACTCACATTCGACTTCACCCTAAAGCAATGGAAACATTTATAAGTTATTAATACAAAAATAAATATAACTAAAAAAATATTAATATTACCTCAGGAAGGTTCGGATGAGAAGGCTGAGCTACGGTGCAACTGTTTCTCTTACTATTGGGGCTAATGTCCACAAGAGTGGATGTCTTTCCCTAGGACGTGAGCAACACATCAACCAAACGATACAGCCTATTAACCTCATCTTTTAGTGCATTAAACTCAGCTGAAAAAGGCGTTGCACCTTTTAATGGCTTTGTAATCCCAAATACTTGCTTCTTAATAATGCCAAAACTAACACCCTTAACTCGTCCGGGGTGGTCAGGATTACCCAATGCTTGACCCAAGATATCTTCATCCTCCGAACGCTTACCCTTTGAGACTTCATCTGAGATAGCAGTCTATGTGACACAAATTAAAAAACTTAAATTTTTTGTTTGAATGAAAAAATTGAATTTACTATGTCAAATTAATAATATTGACACTTACACATTTATTAGCTATCTACTGAACATGCTCATCTATAATGTTACCCTCTTTATTGGTTCAGCCTTCTATAAAAAGAACATGGCGGGATATGCTACTAACTCCTGTGCCTTCTCGCTCAATCTATGCATGTCAATAGCAAAAGAATTAGCAATTAGCAAATATAATAAATAAATGTGGAGTAATTTTAAAATTAATAAACTAGTAATTAATAAATACCATCTTTTCCTCTATGCCTGAATACCCCACACGCCCTTTCTTAAAAGGATAAGGATTTTTCTTAACCAACTCCTGATTTTGTTGGCTCAATTGCTGTGAAAAAAATTAAAATCAATTAAACTTATAATATAGCATAATATTATTAGAAAATTAAAATCAATTGGTAAAGTAAAATCACCTGAAATTCCATTTGAAAATGAGATGCAATAAATTCATCCCATTGTTGTTGGGTTACCAAAGGTCTAATTAAAGTGGGGACCTCGAAACTAATGTTTCCACCCGCTCTTTTAATATATTTTGATCCCACAAAATATCGAAATGAAAGCATTGCTCTCCCAGCTATTTGGAGGACATACTTCCTTCGACTAGCATCAATTATAAATACTGACGGCAAAATATTAGTATGTTATTAATAAATTGATAAACTATTATAGGCACAACAGTCACATAATGGTAAGTTAACAAATATACCTCTACTTGTTCCCAAATATACTGTCTCGTAGATTGATCTGCCTTCTTTCAATTTCTGAGTGTGATAGGCATATTTGCTCTTGCGACAGCTCCAATATAGTTGATGAATTTATCTTTATTGTCCTTAATCGGTTACCCTTTAGCATTCCATTGGAGGGGATTTTTTTTCAGCTATCCTCCGTCTATTCACTTTTGTCATCAATACTAAGCCCTTTCTAATCTCAGTTGCGTCCTCCTAAAGCTGATCATCATTCATTGTTAGACTACGAGCAGTATTAGGAATATCACCACTAGCTACAACATCAGGGCCACTGCTGGGGTCGACGCTGGGACCACTACTGGGGTCAATGCTGGGGCCACCCTTAAGAACATCAAGGTCATTACGACCTTTACGTTTACCTTTCTTGGGAGTCATTTATCTATAAAATGCAAGAACACACATAATTAGAAAATTGATGGACACATGAAATAATTATTTACAAAATTAACCAAACATACATGTAACAGTTATTTAGAAAATAGAAAACTATATGCGATATTAAATAAACACAAGTAATAATTATTTACAAAATAAAAATACACATGTTTAAGTTGGTCTTTTCCTTTTTCTTGTCTTCTTTTGATCTTTTGCTTGCTTACTCTGGTCTCGAATTCTTTTTCCTCTCTTTGATATCCAAATACCTTCAGTA